TTGAAACTGCTTAAAATTCTAACTGTACTAAAAAAAGAATTAATCTTCATTAGAATTCGAAACCGATCGTGCCGACGAACGCTACTGAAACATTAAGAGCTAACTATAACATGGTACTTATGAGTACCGTTGAAACAACTATCAAATGCGGATTAACAAGTTCCGTTAAGAATAAGACTTGAGTCAGGATCTTTGTTAAAAAAGAAAATTGAGTCAACCTATTCCAGTTATGGTTTTGAAATTTCTAAATCCGATAGACTTCAGTCTTTACTTTTAGCCTTACATAACTCATGAAAGCTATTGATGTATTCGAGTAGATCATCGAAATAAAAAGCTTGTCTTTTTTTTTCTTTCTATTTTATAGAACAGAAACCTTAACAAGTGCCGAATGTAATAATGAACCAATCATTCAATTAACATTTATTCAACGTATATTTAAATTACATGAATATGTAGCACCATGTGGTTATTGTCTAGCCCAACCGAATCCTCATAGTTCATCAAGACTTTGTCATAATTGTTATCAAGTATCTTATTGTGATGAGTAAGTTATTCATATTTATTTTATTTAATATTATGTTGTTGTTTTTGTTTTTTTTTATTTTTTTTTTTCAAATTAAAAGAATATGTCAAAAACTTCATGCACAAGAACATAAAACTTATTGTGGATTTCGTTCAACAGAAAATTATGAAGTTATTGGTATTCCATTTATTATTTCATTACCAGAATCAAAATTAACATGTAAAAATGTATTTGAACAAATCAGGATTTATGCTAAGTAAGAAATTTTATTTGTCATAAAAAAAAAGAAAGAAAAGGAATAATTAAAAAACTTTTTTGTTTTAGACGAAGTGTAGATATTCATATTGAACGTTCAAAACGTACTCGACAATCATTACCAATCAATGATGATTATGATCATATAAATAGTGATTTAGAAGATGATGAAAGAGATAATAATGATGATGAAGATAAGTAAGTTTTAAAATAAAAATCATTTAAAATCTATTGTGAATTATTTTTTTTTTGTTGCAGTTTTAGTGATATTGAAAATGTTGATTGGCCAACAATAAAAAATACACTTTCATCATCTGATTCTTGGTCTATATGTCGTCTAGGTGATTATTTTGTTAAAACTGGTAAAAATAAACGTCGACGTCATCATCATCATCATGAACAAATAAATCGTAAAGAAAAAATAATGAAAAATCTTAATGTTGATGAAACAATGATATTTAATAGTGATAGTAATAGTAGTACAGAAGAATTTGATATGCTTGATGATATATATAAAAATCAACCATTATTTCGTTTAATGCCACAAACATCAAATACTTCAAATAATACAATACAATCAATTGTTGAACCAGGTTGAAATAATATTTTAATACGAAAAAAAAAACAAGATTACAAAAAACGTTTTTTTTTTTTCTTTTCATTAGGTGATGATGCTGATAAAATTTTACGTCGTTATACAACATTTTCAATTGATTGGTTTACAGATAATAAAGTTGAAGCACCATTACGTGTTATACCATCAAAACATCGTCATGGTATAAATGATCTCATTGAAGATGATAGTGTTTTTAATATATCACCTGGTGGTATGAAGATTTGAAAATGAATTTTTTTTTTTGGAATAAAATATCGTTTTTGTAATTTAGATCAAGATATAACACTTCAACAATGTCTTCAAATGTTTATTGAACCTGAAGTGTTAGGTCCTGATGATAAATGGTATTGTCCATATTGTAAAGAACATATGCAAGCTGAAAAAATAATGTCGGTTTGGCGTTTACCACCAATACTTATTATACATCTTAAACGATTTAAATATAATCATGGTTCATCATATGGATATTTTTCTGATTCAAGAGTTAAAATTGATACAAATGTTAAATATCCAGTTCAGTATGTATTTTAAAATGAACGAAAAACAAAATAAAAAAAAAACGATATTTTTGTTTTTTTTAGTGATCTTAATATGGCTCCATATTGTTCATCAACAACAGATTCATCTCAAGCTCGTTATGATTTATTTGGTATTATAAATCATCGTGGTAGTGCATGGTTTGGACATTATACATCTTATGCAAGACTTTTATCTTATAATGATTCTGCTAAAACTGAAATTGGTAAAGAAAATTTCTTTTTTTTTTTTTTTTTTTAATAATTTAATTTTTTTTTTCTGTAGGTTGGAGAAATTTTGATGATGAACGTGTATCATCATTATCGTATGATAAAGATCTTGTTCGATCTGATGCTTATGTTCTTTTTTATCGTCATCGTAATTTACCAATTAATCTTGTTATAAATGAACAAAATTCATCACCTATGTCAATGGATATATATGAAGATACAGTAACAATGGAATCATCGTCTATGAAAGATATACAAGATCTTTTACACTAAATAATTTCTAGTAGTAATTGAAACCGTTTAACTATATTATAACAAATGCTTAATTATGACATTGTGATTCTCTTTTTTTTTCCTTCTTCTGCTTAGGCAACACGTTGTATGTTCTTCTTGTTTCTTTTTTTTATGAAAACATCCCGTGTTTGTTCTTCTTCTATTGTTTTTATCATTTTCGCGCAACCAAAAAAAAAACAAACTAAAAACAAAAGACGTCTGTAAACTTAAAATGAAATTATGTTAGTGTATATTACAGTTAGATATTTTAGTAGGAAAGGTGAGTGAACTATAAATATTGGTGATGGATCAGATTTAGAATAAAAACAAAAATGAGATAAGCCAAATTTCCAAAAAAAATAAAAATAAAAATAAAGAATTTTGTTATCTAGCAATGGTCATTCACGATATTTTTTTGTAGTAGAAATATTCTGACTTAATGTAAAGAGAATTTCAAATATGGATGGTTCATCGATTGTCATCTGTTACTATCATGTTGAATGTCATGAATTGAATACGGCAGTTATTAGAAGATTGCACAAATATAAAATCTATTCTGATGTAAATATTATTCTAATAAATCTAGAATTTGAGAAATCTTTCATGTTTTGAAATGATTGAAAAGCAGATTTCTTGATCACATAGGCAAAGTAAATATCAAAACTGAGTACAACGTCAAAGAAGTCTTATCTCATCGTTCTTCATTATTTGTTAACCTACCATTTTATCTCTATTTATAAAAGAGTTTTCTAGTTATACATCTATCTCATATCAAACAAAGGAAAGAAAAAAGTTACGAACGTGAATCTAAATCTAATAATATGAGAACGCATCGACTGTAATGATATTGTCATTCTAGTTGATTGTATCCTTTCTGTTGATAACTCTCATGAACAGTTCTTAGTTAACTTCTGAATGGGAAAAGTTCAAAAGTGATTACAACAAAGCATATGCATTACCTGCTGAAGTGTGTCGGGACAGAAGATCGGCTGTTGTATGGATGACAATGCAGAAAATCATTCACAAACTTGATCTCACAATATATATTCAGGAAACCCGAGGATTACTACTTATTGAAATCAATTGAGATTCGTTGAAAAGGATATCTCGATCATCATGTAATCGGAGTGATGAACACAATTTTAATCATTGTATATTTGTTTGCTCTGTTATATTTTTCTTAGTGGATTAATCAGAAAATTGAAATTCTGCCTTTCAGGTTAGTTTTCACTGATGGCTGACCATCGCGAGAAATGAAGTTTTTCAACGAAAAGATCAAAAAATAAGAGGAAAAAAAAGCAACGTTGCACTTCTCATTCTTCCAGATAACCAGCACTCAGCGCTCATATGGTAATACTGAGCTTTCTACATGTTGGCGAAGCATGTCAAATATATTCATCATCAGATGAAGCCACCATTTGGTGTCTCACTTTTTCCTGTCCAGCATATTTCAGAGATGCTGATGATGTCATACCTGAAAAGCTTCATTTCGTTTCTTAGTAATTCTTATTTTTTCAGCTACTTATAACGTTTGCACGTCCCAAGTTCCAGCTGTTAGAGTATCTTTCGTTATTTTTAGTTTCTACTTGCTACGCTTGGTGTTTATAGTTGCACTGTTTGTGTTTGAGATTTTTCAAATAGCCAATTTTTCGACTCTGCCCAGGTTACTTGGCAGACCATGCGATCCTTGTTAACTTGGGCAACGTCCGAACTGGTATCGTTTTATATTATGATCGCTCATGATTGGTTTCTATTGACTTCTTGTATTTTACAGACGGCGCTATTTACACTCCTCTTTTCGATTCTGTACTTGCGGCTGACATGAGATTTCAGAATAAGATATCGTGGTCGGATTCTCGTACATAGTGGTTTTTATTCAGTATGTTATCGATTGGGAGATCCAAAACAAATAGCCGTGCATGACTTGTCCAAGATCATCACATGACTCGTGATACCGAGGTTTGACTCAGTAGCTAGTGATTATGTGACAAGTATACATAACTACTCAGTCAAGCAACGCTAAAATGAATATCACGATGGACGGAAATTGTCTCGGCATATTTCACTGTTGAACTATCGATAATGAAATTATAAATATGAATAACTGTATGAAAAAATTACGATAAATTCAGCTAGATTTTTATGTTCAAACAAATTCTTTAGTTAGTATTCATATGGCTTTAAATATATATATCCCATTTGTTAACTTTTATTTGGTTTGTTTCCGAATAAATATTATTTATTCTGCTGAATGATATACCTTCTGTTTACAGTTTGAAATAAGATGATGTGACAAAGACTTTCATAAAAAAAATGTTGAACAGATCGATATACAATGATTTTACAGTAGCAAGAAATAGATTTTAAAAAAATTCAAATTGAAAACTATGAACATGAACCAATCTCTTTTATATCAAAAAAGAAATGAAAACTAATCAACATTAGTTTTGTCTTTGTGTTCACCAGCGGCATCTGCCAGATTAGCATTTCTGTAGTTATCGTGACGAAATATTTGATGATTCAATGTATCGAAACCATATAATCGTTAACTCAACTACATTCATTTTTTTTATTATTTACTTTTGCCATGGGTGATATAGCCGGACGTTGGCAAGTTGTGCTTGCAGATGGTATTCATACAGTAGAATTTGAACAGTAATTAAAATAGAAAAAAAAGTTTATATTTATCATGCCTTAATTCTTATCTTTTTAGTGGTACAACATCTGGTAAACGCGTGATTCGTGTTGATAATAACGAAGTTCTTCGTCATAGTTGGCTTTTTAAGCTTGTTGGTACAGAAACTTTTAAAATTGGTACACATAAATGTACTATTACTATTGAAGCTGTTGATAACTTTGCTTATGAATATTCACTTGAGGTTGATGGAAAACCATTGGAAAAATTTAATAAAAATCGTTCTAAAATAAGTCGAACATGGATATTAACACTTGATGGAGTAGATTATCGTGTTGTTTTTGAAAAAGATACAGTTCATCTATGGGTTAATGGTCAAATTATTGAAGCTGAAGTCAATTTCACAGATTATGGAACAGAAACCGTTTTTGAAATCAATGGACATCCAGCTGTTTTGAAAGCTGGCTCATCTAATCATCCTCGTTCGGGAATTCAGCATAATTTATTTGTTGATGGATGCCTAGTTCCTCAAGCAGATGAATCAGAAATCCAATAAATTTTCTTTATTTTATGAAGTATTTATTTAGAGATCAAAACAATACTTCGTTTCATTTCATTTCCTAAATTTTTGATGAAATATCTTTTTACATTAATAGACACTCTCTAATTGTACAATTGTAAGTTTTTTTGCCATAATAAAAGATAAACTGTTGAGGAGACCAGATGCTACCAGAAGATCATAATAATATCGATTATACCATTTGCATATTCGGCTTTGTAATGCTAGAGCTCGTTGGTTTTTCTGCTTCAATGCACTAGCGGACCAGTAAAGTATAGCATTCTATACATTTTGTTCTTCTGCTTTTGTAAAATTGATCAAGTCCACATATTTTGATGGTTTGAATAAATACGAGAATTTATTTTATTATGATAACCTGTAACTTTCAGTGTGGATATAGGTGTGTGTTCTCTTAAGTTACACATATACACCTGTAAGTCGATATTGATTGTGCAACATTGACCTCTCCATCCAACAACTTTCAAAACAGTCTTTCTTTCAGAAGGTTACTCTATATTTTTCTAATGCTCACCGTTTTGTGCTTTTGACATTTTATCTTCGACCACAGTTGAGTTTACCGATTGGATCGCTGTGTTGCTGACACAGGGTAAGATTGGTCACTTGTTCAAGAAATATTTGAAGCTGAATGATGGCGTTGTTTTGTGACCGAAGTGTTGGGTATGTCTGTTGATGAAGAGCAGTTTCTGACCGTCACCCTCCTACCTAGATGATATCCACAATCACACTCATACCCTTTGCAATTGAGTAGAACTTGAATCCATTCTCGTCATATCAAATGGTATTGCACAATATAGTCAGTTTCTCACACGAGTTACCGACATAAAGACATTCACAATTGTGTACATCGATTCGATCTATGTGTCGTATTCCAAAAGATAAAGGCATGATCAATGAGACAAAACATGATCAAAAGTGAAATGCATTTCTACAGATATTGTTCCGATTGATAAATTATTTAGAAAAACTTTACGACACTTTGATTGTGGTTCTATTCCAACAAGTGACATAACACATCACGACTTCGATCGACTTGAGCAATTATTCATCTTTACATAACTACTCAAAGAAATCCTATTTGAAATCGATTATAATAAAGCTTGTATTCCAGACTTTACAGTTTATTGTCATGAACAATTTATATATCATAGTGGAGCATCAAACTATATGAACAGTTTTGAGACAGAATATTACATCAAATGTACGATCTGGGGTGGTATGCTTACTTCAATTTCATTTATTTTATGCTTAATCGCGCTCTACGTAATCAAGAAATTGATACTATTATTAAATTGGTTCTTTTTTTCGTTTTGAATATACATCAACAAATCGAATAATTTCACATGGAGCAGTTTCTCTTCTAATAACTCAATGAAAACCAAGATCGATGATTGATTGTCTCCCGTGACGCAAGGTATATCATCGGTAGATGTTGATAAAATGATGAAAAAAAAACAGTTGAGCTCTTGTCAATCAGGAATTTCTTATCTATAAGTGAAAATCCCAACGTATCTTTGACGTTAGTTGAAATTAACATTGATGAATTGAATATAATGTCAGTTACTTGTGGTAGAAAGAGGATATTATCCGCACCTCTAAGAACGAGTCAACATTTTACTGTTGATTCAATTAGTAACAAATCTACAAGCATCACTGAATGAGTCGTGACATATAAGTATGTATGAAAACAAGAAAAAAAAAATGTAAAGATTAATTTTTTTCTCATTATTCGTTCTCTTCGATTGAATTATGCCAAAAGTGAGTTGAAACGGCTACAGAAACTACAAGTAATAATCATATGAATTTGTCATTATCGTCATTCCATTATTTGTACAGGTATTCATCTAATGAAATAATACATACACATATGAATGAGAGATGTTTTTTGTCTGCTCTTGCTTCTGAGTAGTGAAAAAGTAACTTCAAAATCAGTGATCTGCAGTGTTATCTGCTTATAAAAGTTATTTCTCTGTCTCAAAATTTTAATTGTATATAAATACTTTTTTACAACTATCTTGTAATGAAGACCTTCCTCTTTGACAATTGAAATATACTTGATTTATATACAATCCCGTGGAGTTCTAAAGAATGTACGATCGAAATTTTCATCATATTCGCTTTATTTTATTCGTTTTTCTTTACTTTAAATGATGCCATAACAGTGCTATTCATACATATATGTAGATTATAATGATGAAAAAGGATTTCTTTTTTTCTAGATTTGTATTACAATTATAAAAAAAAACCGAACATGTCATCTTCATACCGTTTCATAGAATCACCAACATCTGAATATAACATACCATTGAATAAACGAATTGATATACCTATTCGTCGTTCATCAAATCATCCTAACTCTCAATTTTATGAACAAAATACTCAGAATCAAATTCATTCTAAAGATACAACACTACAATGGATTAATGATTCAATAACTGGTAATGAAAAGTTTCGTATAAGAATTAATATTGAAGGATTCAATCAAAATGAAGTATTCATTTTTCTCTTTTTGATATAGTTTTTTTTCTTTCTTGTAATTCGTATATTACATAATTAGGTTCATATTCGTGTTGATGAAAATAAACTTTTTGTATATGGTGAACATATTGAAAAGAAAAGTCAAGTAAGAAATAGTTTCATAGAAATTTAATTAGATAGATCTTTAATTTTAGGGTACATCAAAAAAAGTAATCGATAAGTTCTATGAATTGCCATCTGATGTTGATACATTCAGGTAAATTCTCAAATAACTTCAGTTATTCTTTTAAAAATATATCTTTGTTTTTTTTTCTTCTTAAAGTTCACACGTCACTTTTCCATCACCAACAATAATACAAGTTGATTTTTCATCAAAATATTCTTCATCAACTCGATCGGTTCGATCAAGTCGTTACTCATCACCACGAAAATTATACGATAATAATGTATTATCAAATTCATATATTCATTCGTCTGATGATGAACTACCTCATGAAAATCGATATAGTATTACTAACAATGCTCATCGAATTCCAATTCGTCAATTATCTATTGATTCATCACTTTTCTCTGCACGTTCAATTAGTCCAACATATAAATTTCGTCAATCAATTGATAATCCTCAA